CTTTGTTTTACAGCTATGGAAAAAGTTCAGGGGAGAAGAAAAAGCTCCTGCTCATTTAGGCTCTAGCAGAGATTACAATGTTGACATGATGCCTAAGGTAAGATATTCGCTAGTTTCCAGCTAGATCGTCTCTTTTTCTAGCTTAATTGTACTGATACGAATGACTAACTGTTCGAATGTGGCGAACCAGTTTATGATGGCAAATGGAAAGCTTGTTCGTGTCCTTATTCATACAGATGTGACAAAGTACTTGTCCTTTAAAGCTGTCGATGGCAGCTATGTGTTTGTTAAAGGCAAGGTATATAAGCTTTTCACTGAAGTTCTGGATGCAGAGTTTTGCTGTTTAAGTCATTTTCTTCGAGTTTTTTAAACTGTTAATTATCCTGCAGGTTCAAAAGGTGCCAGCAACTCCAATGGAGGCCCTCAAATCTCCTCTTATGGGTCTTTTTGAGAAGCGTCGAGCTGGAAAGTTTTTCAGTTATGTTCAGGATTACGATGAGAAAGACCCGAAAACACATGATGGAATGGATTTGACGAGAGTTACAACAAAGGAGTTGATTGCGTAAGCTGATGTTCTATTGGCTTCTGTATTATGGTGTTGTCAATATTTGATTTTTAGACTATTTACTGCTAACTATTACATAACACATTGGCAGGAAATTCGGTCTTGATGAAAACACTATTGACTTTATTGGTCATGCAGTGGCACTTCACAGTAATGACAACCATCTCCATCAACCTGCCTATGATACTGTAATGAGAATGAAGGTGAATTTCTCTCGTGGAACTTAAAATTTTGGCTGTCCTTGTTTTAAAAGTCGTACATCTTGCTCTGAGTTAGTCATTTTTTATACTGTTGCTTTAAACGTTTATCAGCTCTACGCGGAGTCCCTTGCACGTTTCCAAGGAGGTTCGCCATATATCTATCCTCTCTATGGGTTGGGAGAGTTGCCTCAGGTTTTTCTTTATTCTTTTTTTATACACACTTTATTTGGTTGGTGCAACTATTCTGATATTTTGGATTCTAATTTCTGTATTCTCTTTGAACTTCTCTCTTCTCTTCCTTGGTTCAGGCATTTGCACGACTTAGTGCTGTCTATGGTGGGACGTATATGCTGAACAAACCTGAGTGCAAGGTGCGTCTTTGTCTTCCTTATCTTCGTGGCATTCTTGTTTTGGTCGTTCTGCAACTTTTTATGTCATCAACCATATGGATGCTAGATCTGATACGTGATAACCTGATGTTGCTTTTATAACAGGTAGAGTTCGACGAAGAGGGAAAGGTTACTGGTGTTACATCTGAAGGAGAGACTGCCAAATGCAAGAAAGTTGTCTGCGATCCTTCTTACCTGCCCAACAAGGTAATAACTGCAATCACAGATCTTTTGAACAGGAAGCCTTCCATTTTTTGTTGCATGCATGTAGTTCCCATCTGTGTTATTCGGTTTGTTGATCAGAATGTGGGCCTGTTCGGCATTTTTATACCTCCCACATTTTTCCTGGGTATTTGATTTGTTTTATAATCCATTTCAAACAGGTCAGGAAGATTGGCAGGGTTGCTCGGGCTATTGCCATTATGAGCCACCCTATTCCAAACACCAATGATTCTCACTCGGTGCAAGTCATCCTACCCCAAAAACAATTGGGCCGCAAATCAGACATGTGAGTTTTCATATTCATCCTTTGGTTCCACTGATAGAATTAAACGAGTCTGGAAGACTGTAAGGAATTGAAACGACAGTTTGCATATACTTGTTCGCTTTGGTAACTAAGCTTTGTCGGAATTATTCTCTTGAGCTTGCTGAGAAACCTTCCTTGATTTACACTTGAAGCTGAAATGTAAAATATAAAACTTTCCGGATGCTCTTCAGACTAATCATGCAAGACCCTCTTCTCAACAATATTGTTTTCTTGATTAGAATACACAGAATACTCTATAAAACCTGGCCATGTGTACATATTGAATCGATTGATATTTTTGTTTCTCGGCTCATGACTACATCTTGATTGTTAACTGACAGGTATGTCTTCTGTTGTTCGTATTCACACAACGTTGCTCCCAAGGGAAAATTCATAGCATTTGTGTCGACAGACGCAGAGACTGATAACCCTCAAACCGAGCTGCAGCCTGGAATCGACCTTCTCGGTCCAGTTGATGAGCTGTTCTTCGACATCTATGATAGATACGAGCCTGTCAACGAACCCTCTTTAGACAACTGTTTCATATCAACGGTTAGTTTAGTTATGCCTATTTTGTGAGCATCTTACAGTTGTCTGGTTAGTTTCTAACAACTCTTGTTCCTGTCCTAAACAGAGTTATGATGCTACAACACACTTTGACACAACTGTTGTTGATGTGTTGAACATGTATAAATTGATCACCGGAAAGGTAATGCTCCAGATTCACAAATACATCGTTCTTAATAACCCCGGACATGTTCTGCAATGAGGAAGTAATAACTTTTGGTATTGCAGGAACTGGATCTAAGTGTGGATCTTAACGCAGCTAGTGCTGCAGAGGAATGATGGAGAAAAATGCAAGATCGCTCCCTCTCTCCTTTAGTCACCAAATGATGTAACTGGTTCTGTCTCGCCTTTCTTCATGTTGTCTGCTAGAATTCAGAATCAGATTGATCTCATCATGCTTACCAGTTTCCCCTGTTATTGTGGTGTCTGTTTCTTTCTTAAAACCAAAAATGTTGGATCTCGTGGTTTCTCTTTGGATTGTCTTATATAAGAATGCTCTTGCAGTTGAACAATCTTTGTCTCAGTCGTTCCTCGAGTCTCGTTGGATTAACTTGTCCGAGCTAAAAAATTTAAACCAATGCTTAGAAAACCAAATCGAGTCAGCCGGACGTATTAAACTGTAAATTGGTCCCTTCTCTGGCCTGAATCTGTTTAATACCTGTCATGGAACCCAGCCGGTTCGAAAACTCAAATCATTACGCTAATGGGTCATGAGTTCACGCTTCAGAACAATCTCTGGTGTTTCCTGAAGGTGATGACTTTGTTGAGAGACGAGACTTTTCCGAGTAACGACTGCAAGCGGGACTGGAGTAGCTAGAGGATTTGGATGCCTCCATGTGTTGGAGGTCCCAATCAAAGGCAACGAGAACATAAAACACACATTTTGGTTTTCTATATATAATAATGATGGAGTTTCGACTCGTACAAACTCGGAAACACACAGCATAAAGGTGAATATAGGAAACAGAGGAGTGGTGACTTAGTTGCAAAATCAAAACAAGATAAAAAGAACAAGACTTGGTATTGATTTGGTTTCTTGCTTCGGTCGGCTCGTCAGGTATTGGTTCGACCAGTCAGTTCCGTGTCCGCATCACCATGACTGGTACTTCCATGAGTTGAACCTTTCTTCACTCCCTTTTTAGCCATCTTTGCCCATCCAACAATCTGTTGCTGCGTCTGCTCGTTGAATATTGCACCTTTGAATGAACTTCCCATCTTTTCACCAAAAGAACAGACAAGAATAAGAAGTGTGGTTTTGAGTTTGTGTCGCAGTCCAGTTGGTATCGGAAAAACAAGAGAATGATGAAAAATCTGTACCTGAGTGACGAGGGCATAAAGTGGTAAGGTACTGTAACTACAGAGAAGCTGAATCGTTACCCTGAAGAGAAGAAAAAATCTTTAGTCAAAGATTCTACATTTCAAGATCAAGGAGATATAAGAAGCATTGGCTATTATTTACCCGATGATGAGTCTTGGGATTATGAACTTGACTTGTCCCATGATGCAAGAATTAAAACCATATTGAGCCTGTTGTTACAATTGCATTAAGGATTGTTTGCATTTCTGTATATTGGTTTAGTTCTACTATGGTAAATGAGTACTTACAAAGATAAAGAATATGTAGGCCAATTCGAATGAGTTTTGGAAAAGAATGAAATGGATCAAGAAGAGAACTAGCCGAGGACTTTTGAACCAGAATAGATCATCCGATGGTCGGACTACCAAATCTCCCTCTACAGCGATATGTTTCTCTGCAACTTCATGAGCCAAATCTGTGATGATATGCTCTAACTTTGTCCCCACGGCAAGCAAAAGCTACCGAGAAAAAAATCGCGTAAAACAGGTTGATCAAGATGGGATTAAACTTTAAAGCATAGAAATGTAGTTTAGGGACTTACGATCAGAGGAATAAAAGCTAGCCAAAAGTAAACATTCCAAGCTGTAAGAAACATGGAATCGATGATCATTAACCCGATAAAAAAAAGGTTTGGATCGAAGTTAAAAGATGTTATCTCACCAGTAATGTTTAGAAGCAAGAAGAAAACCACAAATACCCAAAGATACCAACTGCAATTTGAC